ATGATGATGATGATGATGATGATGATGATGATGATGATGATGATGATGATGATATTGATTTTGACTTAGATGATGATGATGGAAGACAAAGGGAACTGATATATTATTTATAGGCCAAACTCAAAATATGCAAGTAAACCTGACTGTATTGAATGAAAAAGGAATACAATAGCATTTTGGTAACACAAAAGCATATTATTGACCGAGATCTCTGTATACGTAGTTGAAGTGAGAGGCAAAGAATTTATCGCATGAGTTATGGAAGTAGATCATGGTTTATCCCAATAATAAAATTGTCCAGTGGTAATCACCAGCTTCAACGAGTGATTACAGCTGGAAATTGTTACTTCACTTGAAGAATAAATCATGATCTACAACTATAACGCAGGCAATGCATTAAAAATGCTATGCTGATATAAGCCGAGGAACAAGGTATGGATCAAAATAGATCAAAAGACCAGTCAAATAGTCAAGAGTAGCTTGTCGACAATCGTATATAAACATGAAAAAGCCCTATCAATATCAGAGAGAGGAATTTATAACTGCACACACAAACAGTTTGTCGAATCTGACACTAGAACAAGACTTATCACTTGTACCAGTGGCACCGAAAATCAAGAATAATTGCTGATCTCATTTGGAGATTGTCAGTAAGTACATTCTTATCCCAAATTCCGCAAACCAAAAATATGTCTATTCCTTAACGTTATATCGTCCCCCCCCCCCCAAAAAAAAAAAAAGAAAAAAAAAAAGGAAAAGTAAAACATTTGCAGTCACCAAGGGGAAAGAATGACGTCAGTGAAATATGGGCGGAGCTAACCTCAAGAACATCGTCGTTGCATGCGTTGTCTCATTGAATAACACAAAAATCACTGTCTAGGCCACTTATAAATTTAATATTAATACTATTGTGTACAGAAGACAAAAACACATGTAGTGTGTTCTTTGTTTTTGTAATTGTTTGTTTTGTTGTTGTTTTCATTTTCTCTCACTCAGTGAACAATTTACATCACTTCTTCACTGGTCTCAGAAAATCTATTTGCCAGGGCTTCATTACAATAGTTGATGCAAAGAGTATAATGATACATAGCACATGAGCTCATGGCAGTGACGCCTATTCTGGAACATTGAGCGTTGAGGGCATGAACAACGGATGGGTGAGTACTTTTCGAGACTTATGTGGAGACTTCTAGACGGTCTTTGCGGATATCTACCAGCTTACAATGAAATATGAGGGCAGGGTGGTGTTTAATGCACAAGAGCTCATGGGGCTCAGATTGCTAATGTAAATGGGGCGCGCCAGCCATGGCGTTGAAGGCGAGAAGGTCCCTATATCTGATATGTGCGACCCCATTGCCATGTACACACACACACACACACACACACACACACACACACAC